AGTGCATCACTTGCCCCAGCCTGTGAGTTCCTATCTATACCTTGTGGCTAATAGCCACTGATGGCCTTCTGCTCCATATGTTTATCCAGTTCCCTCTTGAAGCTGTCCATGCTTGTAGCCGCCACCACTTCCTGTGGCAGTGAATTCCATGTATTAATCACTCTTTGGGTGAAGAAGTACTTCCTTTTATCTGTTCTAACCCGACCGCTCAGCAATTTCATGGAGTGTTCTCGTGTTCTTGTATTGTGAGAAAGGGAGAAAAGTACTTCTTTCTCAACCTGCTCTATCCCATGCATAATCTTATAAACCTTGATCATGTCACCCCTCAGCCATTGTTTCTCCAAGCTAAAGGAAAGAACTGGCGGGATGTCCGTGCCTGCCCTTCTGGGCATGCTCACTGGGGCTCCTGAGCATGCTCAGTTGGGCCAGGCACGAAAATCCTTTTAAGAGAGCTTGCTAGGCACCGGCAGATCCAGCGCAGGCGCACTAGATCCCATTGGTGTGAAGCACAGAGACCACGAAGAAGATCAAGTATGTTCTTCAAAATGAGATTTGCTGTGAATCTTTCCATTCCTAGTTTAATGCTGAAGTCTAGTGAATCCTGCATCTTGCCAGATCTTGAATGAGTTTCTGCATCTAAGATCCAGTTCTAATCTAGTCCTCACACTCGCTTTTCTGACAGAGGTAGCATAATTACCGGCACTTCATCTTCTTCATTATTGGTTGATAAATGTTCAAAAATGTTAAAATAGTTTTTACTGTTACATAATAGACTTTTGAGGCTACTTGATCCTTATCTCTTGTTGTTGCTTGTTTAATGCTTTTGATGTTCATTGTTGTTAATGATCATTTTAAAACGAATTTTTTAAAAAAATTTAAATTTAGGTGTGTTACAGGCAGGAATGTTCTGGTGGGAAAGCATGTGCCCCCTGCCGATTCATGGTAGGTACTTGGTACCCCTAGCCTCAGGGGGTGAAGCCAAATACAAAATGGCTGCCTCAGGAGGTGGAGCCAAATACAAAATGGCTGCCTCAGGAGGTGAAGCCAAATACAAAATGGCTGCCCCAGGAGGTGAAGCCAAATACAAAATGGCTGCCCCAGGAGGTGAAGCCAAATGGAATAACTCCCTTCTCACAGAAGAACGGAAGAAGGAAAACTTGAAGGAGAAATTAGGGCTTATTAGGAAAGAATAAAACGGCCAATATTGTCGTGCCTCTGTATTGATCAATAGTGCGGCCTCATTGGGAATACTGTGTACGGTTCTGGTCACTGTATTTCCAAAAGGACATGGCAGAGCTGGGAAAAATGTAGAGGAGGGCGACCAAGATGATGAGGGGGTTGGAGCCCCTTCCCCAGGAGGAAAGGCTGAAGAGTCTGGGGCTTTTCCATTGTGAAGAGAGACAACTAAAGGGGGACATGATAGAGGTATACAAATGCCTGGGGTGGAAAGAGCTGACAAAGAGAACTTTGTCTCCCTCTTCCAAAATACTAGAACTTGTGGGCATCCGATGAAGCCAATGGGCAGTAGGTTCAGGACGGACACAAGGAAATACTACTTTACACAGAGAGAGATTAAAATGTGGACTTCGCTGCCAGAGGATGCCGTGATGCCCACAGGAATAAAGACCTTGAAAAGGGGATTAGAGAGATTCATGGAGGATAAGTCAATGAGTGGCTACTAGCCATGGTGACTGAGGGGAACTTCCACATTTAGAGGCACTAATCCTCTGAATCCCAGAAGCAGGAGGCAACATCAGGAAAAGGCCTCGGCCTCTCTGCCCTGTTGTTGGCCCTCCAGAGGAACTGACTGGCCACTGTGTGAGACAGGATGCTGGACTAGAGGAACCCTCACTGGTCTGATCCAGCAGGGCTCTTCTGAGGTTCTTCTCAGGAGAAGTCCTTGGCCTCTCTGCCCTGTTGCTGGCCCTCCAGAGGAACTGGTTGGCCCCTGTGTGAGACAGGATGCTGGACTAGAGGAACCCTCACTGGTCTGATCCAGGAGGGCTCTTCTGCTGTTCTTATGAAGTCTCTGTCAGGTGTCAGTGGTGGTGGCGGCTCCAAAGGCCTGGCGGAAGAGCTCCGTTTTACAGGTCCTGTGGAAGTGTAGCTGGTCCCGCAGGGCCCTGATCTCCTCCGGGAGCTCATTCCACCAGAGTGGAGCCACCACCGAGAAAGCCCTGGCCCTGGTTGTCGTCAGCCTGGCCTCCTTGATATTCGGGAGGACCAGCCGATTCTGGGTCACTCTCTGGGGGGCATATGGGGGGGGGGGGAAACCAGAAGCCCTGCATGCAATTTCAGAAGTCAATTTTTCTAAGGAACCGTGTGAGTTTTTTCTTCAAGTCCATCCATCCAAAATTGGGAAGCAAGCAACCCTGACCTGGATAGCCCGGGCAAATCCCGATCTTGTCAGATCTTGGAAGCTGAGCAGGGACGACCCTGTCAAGTATTTGGACAGGAGGCCTCCAGAGAATACCGGGGCCGGGAGGGCAGGGGCAGGCTATCAAGCCACTTCTCTGAATGTCCTCCGTGCCCCAGGAGGAGTCGCCAGAGGTCGCCAGGCACGGGCATAAAGAAATAAAAATTGGGAAGCAAGCCCCTTGGCTGTGAAACCAGATCCACTCGAAAGGGCCTTCAATTTGGTCTTGCTTTCTAGTATCGCATGAAGCACAAAAAGAAACACCACTGACTGAAAATACACAAGTATATAATAAGTATACAGCAAGTATAATGTAAATCAATTCGCCAAGGTGCAGTGATGAAGCATAGTCTACAGTCTTTCCATGTGTCTTACTCCAGCATAGAAGCAAAATTGAAGTACATGTCATCAAATTTTCTGAGCCATAAAAAGCCGACGCATAATCCAGATGCCTCAGTCAAGGAGGATTATGGGTCCTTGACTGATCCTTTAGGCTTTGTATATGCCAGCTTTTGAGATTGGGTTCCATTACAGCCATGCTTGAATAAGAATTATTCGAAACGCGACATCAGGCATCCGGATTACGGGTCGGCTTTTTATGGCTCAGAAAATTTGATGACATGTACTTCAATTTGGACTTTGATATTGCTTCTATGCTGGAGAAAGACACATGGAAAGACTGTAGACTATGCTTCATCACTGCACCTTGGCCAATTGATTTACATTATACTTACTGTATACTTATTATATACTTGTGCATTTTCAGTCAGTGGTGTTTCTTTTTGTGCTTCTTGTATTGTACACTGGCTTCCCCCCCCTTTTTTTGCTGCTTCCTAGTATCGCATGGTAGAGGTGGAATGCCCCCTTCTCTCGAACGAGGAAGCCCCGCCCCACAACCAAGTTCCCCCTACCGTTGTGGTGTTCATGATGATCTCGGGATCGTCTCGGTTATCTGGGACGACCTCCTCTTCCAGGCGAGGCACCGTGGGCACCACAGGAGGCGGGGTGATGAACGTGGTCGCCTTCTTGGCTTTGAACAGGAAGCTGGAGAAGACGACAGGAAGAGCAAGCGCGATCAGGAAGTGCTCGGTCCAAAATATTATGCCTTTGGAGCACTTCTTTAGCGACAAGCACTAAGAAACTCAGTGGGACTGACTTCCAGCAGCCGTGCACGGGACTGAACTGATCAACATATAAAAAGAAATATGAATCGAGCCTTGAATGTCTTATAGTGTGTTGCTTTTTCCTCCGCTGTGCCCTCTGGCATGACATAAGACGGCGTGTGCCAGGAATGAGAACATGCCGGATACTTCAATAACACCCTCATCCCCTGTGTAGTGTAGTGGTTAAGTGCTCGGACTCTAATCTGGGAGAACCGGGTTTGATTCCCCACTCCTCCACTTGCACCTGGCTGGATGGCCTTGGGCAAGCCGTAGTTCTGATAAGAACTGTCCTTGAAAAAGAGCCGTCTCTGTCAGAGCTCTCTCAGCCCCACCGACCTCACAGGGTGTCTGTTGTGGGGAGGGGAAGGGGAAGGAGTTTGTAAGCCTGTCTCAGACTCCTTTGGGTAGTGAAGGGCTGGGTATAAATCCAATCTCTTCTTCTTCTTTAAGCAGCTTTAAGACCAAGTTTTATTCAGGTACACACTCTCCCTCCTCTGCGAGGACAGATCTGCACGTGTCCCCCCCCTCCCAATAGGTAGCAATCCAAAACAGTCCAGTCGAGCCTGAGTGGTGGGTGTTGCCTTCTGACACACTTCCGGTGATGCCAGAGGGTGTGGCATATGCAAATAAGTTATGCTAATACATTATGCTAATGAGCTCCTGCATCTCTTTTTCTACTAAACGACCCCTGCTTGGGGGTACTGCTAGACTCTAGCTTCATACTCACACATTTTGCTAATTTGCTGCTATCCACTGATCTTACCGGCCACCTGATCCAATTTCAGCTCTGCATGTGCAACTTGGCTCCGAGCGGCCCCTACTAACGGCTGGCCTCCCCACCCTCTTTTTTCCTGTAAGTAACCCTTGAGGAGATCTAATTCTATTTGTCTGAAGAAGTGTGCTTTGCACATGAAAGGTTACAATTTGAATAAAGTTCTGGTGGCTTTAAAGGTGCCACCGGACTCAAACTTTGTTCTTCTTATAATATTATTCAGTTATTGTAAAGGCTCCTGAAGCTTTTCCAGACTGTGGCCAACATCTGTGAAGAGAAAGGCCTATATGGATTGAGACCACATACCAGAAGAAGAAGAAGCAGGATGAGGAGGAGATTGGATTTATCCCTCCGCGCTTCATTACCCGAAGGAGTCTCAGACGAACGTACAGTCTCCTTTCCCTTCCCCTCCCCACAATGGACACCCTGTGAGGTAGGCGGGGCTGAGAGAGCTCTTTTGAGAACTGCTCGTGAGAGAACAGCTCTGAGAGAACTTGTGACTGACCCAAGGAGGACTAATTCCTTATGAACCTGCCCAACTACAACGGTCATATTCAAAGGTCCTGTTTTGGGTGCCCCCCGCCTTCTGAGATCAGGCAGGCGACAAGCTGGGACGGGGCCTTCTCGGTCGTGGCACCAAAGTTCTGGAACCCAGGGAGATGCATCCGTCCTCTTCTGTTGTCATCGCCTGCCAGCTGTGGAGATTTTTTGTCTGTTTCATTTGGCATTCCCTCAATGTTCCCTCCTTCCTAGCCGACGTTTTTATGTTTTGCATGTATTTTAGCTCTGTTGTAATGATGTGAGTTGGCGAGAAGGGATGCTATTAGCAGTTTTTTAAACGTAATTTTATCAGGTATGTTTTAAATCATTGGCCGCCTTGGCAGCCCTTGTGAGGGAGGAATACAGATTTTGTGAATAAGTAAATAAGTAAACAAATAGGGAAGGAAGGAAGGAAGGAAGGAAGGAAGGAAGGAAGGAGGGAAGGAGGGAAGGAGGGAAGGAGGGAGGGAGGGA